GATGAAAGAAGGAAAAGTAGCTTCTGTTGAGTCAAAACTGACTCACAGTTGACTCTTCAGCCGGTTTCTGAGGCTGCAAATCCCATAGGAAGAGACTGCCTGTCTTTTCTCCCTCAGAGCTGCAGATGCAGTTGAACTACCATAGAGGGATTTTTTTTTTTTCAGGAAGCAGCAGAACGCCTATGAACTATGTCACTAGAGTTCCCTTACCTGAAAATAAAAAAGAACCAGTGATTGTGCCTGAGTATACATGTGCTTACCTGTGAGCACTTGAAACCATGTTTCTGAGGTCTAAGGAGAGACAACAAACTGAAAAACCACAGATATCACACTCATTCTTAGCTGTTCACTCTCCTCCAGGCATGTATAATATGGGCCCTTGGCAAAAATACTCTGAGGAAATTAAATAAAAGTGGGAAAGTCCATTTCAAATCAGAGTAAGAAGCACATACAGACCAAGGGTTTTTTTAACTTTTTAAGCCCTGCATTTCTTAGACCCCGAGGGAAAAAAAAGTACTTAATTTCCAGGGTAGCGAGGAGACCTTGCTTTGGGTAATTTGCAACTTTCAAACATGAAAGAACTTTCCTATTGCAAGGCATCGAAGGATCAGACTCTGACTCACTGTCACTAAGTTGTTTAGGATCAGTGTGACCCTCTACTGGGTTTCTGAGGTTGTAGCTTGTAGCAGAGAGAGATTGCCCACCTGTCTCCCTCAGAGCTGCTGCTGAATCCGAACCTGGAGACAGACACTCTGCCTTTGTGCTACAGCTCGGAAAACTGCAGGGAGCAGCAGAAATAATAACCACAATACCAGTAAGAACAGGTGATGTTTGGTTTTTATCTTCCATCCCATCTAATCACGGAAGCTCCATGCGTGTTAGAGTAGATCTATACTCCAACTTAATGAGGCCAAGTCCGGTCTTTTTTTTCCAGGTACCTCTGGAGGAACTTGAACCTCCAATATTTCTGTGAGCATGTTAACTGTTTGTATAACAAAGCAATCCCAGGATATTACACTGTACTATTTGGGAATGTTATCAGGAAGGGTCACTCCCTGAAAAGGACAACATGCTTAGTAAAGTAGAGAGTCGCTGGAAGAAAAGAACACCCTCAAGGGGAGAGACTGGCACAGTGGCTGCAGCAATGGGCACAAACACAGCACCGACTATGAGGCTGGTGCAGAACCAGGCGCTCTTTTACACCATCATACATAGAGCCACCAGGAGATAGTGTCAACTCAATGGCATCCAACAACAACAACAGTGTTCTGCTTGGTTAAATGTGTTATCAGTCTCACTGAGGCTCCATAATAACCTGAGAAGGCAGACACTTTATTATTACATTACTTACTTTTTATAGATGACCTGAGGTTCAGAGAATTTAACTAAGCTGCCCATAGTTACACAGTTGGTAAGTTAGAAGGGGTTGAACAAGGAACCAAATTCAGGTCGGATATGACCCATGAGCCAGTGTTTTTAACCAGTAAACCATTCCCTTCCCCATTAGATGCTCTTGAAGACAGTTCAATAGGTGAGTCTGCCAGAATTTCAGAAAGTGCTTTAAAAAAGCCTTCTGGCTCCTCTGTTTGATGTCAATACAAATGTTCAAGGCAGTGAGTACAAGCTAATGTCACCCACAATACTCCAGGCAATTTGCACATCTGGCAGTTAAATGAGTGCGAGCTCAAAGCAAATCACGTCCCTGAGGCTCAGGACACTTCACAGGGAGAATAACAGGAGGAATTTCATTACAGCTCAAACTTGGCCAGAAGAATAAAACTCCCCTTATTTAAGGGGGTACAAAGAGACACTCACCCAAGAGCAATGGACGCCCACAGACAGACACGAATATAGATTTCATACATGTGGAACTTGAGGAATTAAGAAGGATGAGCTGAAGTCTGCCCTTGGGGTTATTTGGTAAGAGGGTCCATTTAGCTAAATAAGTAGCAGGGAAGGAGTTACCTTTCAGCTGTGCATAGGATCATATTGCTTTCACATACGTGGCAAGAATGAGTGGACTAATTATACATTACATTCTCTTTGAAGCGGGTCCCCACAGAGCACTTGGTTTGCCTCATTCAAGCTTCTGTATGTATTTAAAGGCAAGAATTTTGCATTTCTTTTGTAATTGTGTACAACAAGAGGGCTGGCCTTCTGTCACTTAATATTAATCAGAAGGGTTTTACTGAATCTGAAATGCCCAGCAGGACTGGTAAGCAGCAGCTGTCCAACCTATGATTGTGCTAATGCGCAGGGCCACACCACCCAGCCCAGGAGAAGCGGCTCCAGTGCAGGTATTACACTGCCGTCCACAGGCTCGAATTACCACCACATGCCCATTGCAGGACCGAGCTAGTTCTCCATCTGGCCTCCATGCTTAACTGGGATCCCTGATGACGATGGCAGCCTGAACAATGAAGGCGAGCCAAGTGGGCCTACCTTCTGCAGCCTGTGCTACACCACATGCAGCTACAGCCGTCCTTGTCACGTCCCGAGGACGGGACTCCATTTGTCTCTACAGTGACACCACCTGAAAGCCAGGGTGGGACTGCCAGGGCAGACAGAGGCAGGGACATTTCAAAGCTTTCAGAGTGTAGGCTATTCATTCTGATGCAGAAAGTTAAGTGTCTCACTTTTAAAAGCCACAGTCACATAAGAAATGTAACCACGTTTTGCTGGGATTAGCCGCCAATCACCTTGCACAAATCATCTTGCACAAACAAAACACATATGTATTAGACTAAGTTCTTGTCATACATCTGTATTAATGGTCAGGAAATGATGGTCATGAATAACAAAATCACAGAGGAACATTTTTTTCTCCATGTCTCTTTCTACCCTCAATTAAAGGGATACAATTCAGACAGCAATTTTGGATGCACCATGTTCATAAGGCACATGAAAAAAAAATCCATCTTTACAGTGAAGTGGTTCCTGAATATTTCTGTGATTACCAGACAATTTGCATAAATATTCAAGCTTCACTCTCTGAATAAATTCATGTGGGTGAAGGCTGATCTGCTGCATGCTGAGGCTTCTTGTTTCTGGCACAGCCTGTTTCATTTTAACATTGACCCCAGAGTGGACAAAGAGAAATTTTATACATTGGAAAGGGTTGATCATGGGGCTACGAAGAACAGTCCTGACTCCTAAAAGTCATTTAGTAATTTTTCTCATTTGCAGACAGGAGTGATGCTGAGAACCCAGAGCGTTTCTGGGGACGAGGTGGAGGGGTAAACATTGATTCCTGCCTGCTGCCACCAGCTCCTCTCTCTCAGCATGTTGTACTGCAGTGACTTATTCATTGCCATGATGCTACACGCTCTGCAACCAGCACTTCAAACGTTAGCAAGGTCAAGTTTCAGCAGAGCTTACAAATTACAGCACACAAAGAAGAAAGGTCGGATAATCTACTTTGGGAAATGAGCCAATGGAAACCACGGATCACAGAATATTGTTCAAGATGTTGATTAGTGTACTCTGGACATGTCCTCAGGAGGACAGATCCCTGGAGAGGGATAGCATGTTTGGGAAAGTAGAAGACCAAGAAAAGTAAGCAAAATCCTCAGTGAGATTGAAAAGAAGTCAAGCTCCATTGGTGAAGCCAAGCATGCCAGCAGTCATGAAGATGGGACAGGATCAGGCAATGTTTAGTCTGATTCTATACACTCTGGGCTGCTACGCTTCAATTGCCTTGACGGCAACTGACAACAAAGTACAAATCCTGTCTGCTCATATCTGGAGGAGTCACACACATTAGCTCATGATCTCAGAAACTAAGAACCCCAAGTGTCAAGACAGTGGGTGAGTGCCAGAGGGCTCAGTTGTTAGCAGACAACAGTGTAGAGTGGCCCCAATATTCTGATCACAATTTCTGCCCAAATGCATTGCTATGCCCCAACCCCCTTGGAGCATCATTAAGCGAAGAAAAGCTAAATACAGAGTAATTGTACAGTATGCTACCATCTGAGTAATAATAATACAAATAACAGGGAGACATGTAATATTTATGCACTTGCTTCGTTATACATGGAGTGTTTCTGGAAGCAACCGGAAGAAATGAAAATTTTTTCTTGCCTCTGAGAAAGGATCAGGGTCTACAGGGAGGCTTCCCATATGGTATCTTTTTATACCTTTGCATTTTGATGCATGCAAATGCATTATCTTTTCAAGAATAATTTACAATTCTGAAAAAATGCAAATTCTTACTAATCAGGATCACTGGGATAGGTCCCAGGAAACTGCATTTTAACAAGCTTACCCGTTTACTCTTGTTGTTGTTGTTGTTAGCAGCTGGTGAGCTGGCTTCCAACTCATGGCAGTGCTCCAAGCACAACCAGATGGGACTATAGGGTTTTCACTGACTGATTTGCAGGAGACCTCCAGGCCTTTCTTCCTAGTACATGTGAATGGGTGATTGCCACTAATACCTGTGAATTGCATCACAGGAATAAACAGACCTCCACGGACAGACACTCCTCTGACAGACAAGTAGTGTCTGGACAGGAACTACACGGGAATGGAACCTGCATTCCCTGCATGAAAGATAGGAATTCAAGCACAAAACTCCCACTGATCTCAGGTTTTCCTCATACGATGCAAATTTTGAGAACTTCTGTTTTCAAAATTAAAGGATCTTCCTTTCTTTCAAAAGAAAGTCCACTCACTTGTCCCCAAGACCAGCAAGTCTTGAAAGGGAGGGGCAAAACCAAAACCCCAACTTGATACCAGAATAACTTAAAGTACAAGATTCCAAGCTTACCATCTAATTAAACTTTCTTCTCAAGAGAAATGAACAATGCAAACTCCACCTCCCTGAAATCAATTTAGATTCTGATTTCTCAGTTGTCAGCAGCATTTTGTGCTTATGAAGACCAAGGGAGTTGTTAGAAAAGAGACGTGTGCGAAGGCTGACAGGTTGAGTCCAGCCATGCTTCCTAAAAAACCAGGAGTGGTTCCAGCTTGAGTCATTCCAGAAAAGGGCTTTTTGTCCTCACCTTGCTTTTTAAAGAGGTTGCTGCGGACGATCTCATTCATGGACTGTACTTTCTGCTTCTGGAGTTTCACGGGGGGGATGCAGGTATAGAACTCATACAGCAATTGGCTAAAGAGAAGAAAATTAGGAGCAAGTTAGATCAATGTTGCCTGTACCATCATGCCCACAGCCCATGCTGGACCATAAGCTCTGTATCATATGGACACAGAACCTTCGTCATCTTGCTCTCTTCACATTCCATTCCTAGTATGTATCAGGTACAGTGTGTGGGAAGATGCTGAAGGTGATGAATATTAACAGCATTCAAAGAGACATAAAAAAAATCTGAAAATAATACTAATAAATTGAGCACTTACTTTGTGCCATGCACAAGCTTTACAATTTATATTAATTTAACTTCACAATCTTATATTGTTAGGTGTTGTCTAGATGAGTTCAACCCCTAGTGACCCTATGAACAACAGATCTGAACCCTGGTCTATCCTGTGCCATCCTCCCAGTCTCTGACATACTTGAGCTTATTGCTACAATCTGTTTAAGAGTCTTCTCTCTTTTGCCTACTATCCTCCTTTACAAGCATGATATCCCTCTCCAAGGAATAGCCTCTCCTAGCAACATGCCCTTAGTATGTGGGATGCAGGTTGTTATTTTTGCCCTCAAGGGATGCCCTGGTTGCACCCTCTCTTTATTATGTATCTCTTTATTCTTTTGGTAGGCCATGAGATAAAAGGCCTCAATTCTTCTTCTTTCATCCTTATTCACTGCCTAGCTCTCAGCAGCATAGCAAGTGATTGAAAAGACTAAGGCTTGAATGAGGCACACTTTACTCCTCAAACTGACATCATTGCTTCTCCATAATTTGGAGAGATCCCTGCCTACAGACTTTCCCAGTGAAATACATCTCCTAATCTCTTGACAGAGCAGGGTAACACTGCATGGTTCAAAATTGGGAAGGGTGTACGCCAGGGATGCATCCTGTCTCCATACCTTTGCAACATGTATGCAGAGCAGATTATCCGAGAGGCTGGGCTCTATGAGGAGAAATGTGGCATCAGGATTGGTGGAAGGTCTATCAACAATCTCCGTCATGCAGATGACACAACCCTGCTTGCTGAAACTGAGGAGGACCTCATGCACTTGCTGCGAAGGGTCAAGGACTGCAGCCTTCAGTATGGACTGAGGCTCAATGTCAAGAAGACAAAGATTCTCACCACTGGACCAATTGGCAGCGTCAGGATGGATGACGAAGAGATTGAAATTGTTCACAGCTTCAGTTTGCTCGGCTCCACAGTCAACACTCTTGGCACCAGCAGTCAGGAAATCAAAAAGCGTATCGCGATGAGAAAGTCTGCTGTTAGGGACCTCTCTAAAGTACTCAGGAGCAACAGTGTCTCTCTGGAGACTAAGGTGTGCCTGATACAGGCCATGGTGTTTGCAATCACTTGTTATGCATCAGAGAGTTGGACAATGACTAGGGAGGACAGAAGGAGAGTGGATGCTTTTGAGCTGTGGTGCTGGAGAAGGGTACTGAATGTACCCTGGACTGCCAAGAAAACAAACAGATCTATCTTGGAGAGGATTAAACCAAGCTACTCCTTGGAGGCAAGGATTCTGGGGCTTCGTCTGACATACTTTGGACATGTTGCCAGGAGGGACGGGTCCTTGGAGAGGGACATCATGCTTGGGAGGGTTGAGGGACAACACAGGAGGGGAAGACCCTCTATGAGATGGATTGATTCGGTGACTGGGGTAATCGGGATGGGTGTGTCAGAGGCGGTGTGGTTGGCGCAGGATAGAGCAGGGTTTAGGGCTGTTGTGCATAGGGTCGCTATGAGTCGGAAACGACTCGACGGCACATAACAACAACAACAACAATCTCTTGACTACTTGATATCAAGGGTGTTGACTGTGGATTCAAGTCAAATGAAGTTATTGACAGTTTCAATCATTTCTCCATCTACAATGATGCTGCCTTTAAGTTCAGAGGTGAGGAGTTTTATCTTATTGACGTTGAGAAGCAATCAATATTCTTTAACTATATTCTTTGAGCTTCTGTAGCAAGCACTTCAAGTACTCCTTTTCAGCAAGCACAGTTGTATGATTTGCATAATGGAGGTTATTATAAAGTCTTCCTCCAATCCTGATGTCATATTCTTCTTCATAGATAGAGTCCAGTTTCTCAAATAATTTGCTCAACGTACAGCCTAAATAGGTACGCAGAAAGATACAACCTTGATGCACACTCATCTTATTTTAGGCCATGTAGTGTTCCCTTGCTCTGTTTGCCCAAGAGTGGCTTGGCCTAGGCATAGGTTTCACATAAACACAATTAAGAATTCTGGGGCTCCCATTCCTCTCAATGTTAGTAAAAATTTGTAATGATCTACACAGTTAAGTGTATTTGCATAATCAATAAAGCACAAAGAGACATTCTTCTGGCATTCTTTGTTTTCATCCAGGATCCATCTGACATTAGCATAAATATCCTTGGTGCCAAGGCCTCTTCTTAATCCAGCTTGAACTTCTAACAGTTCTCTGGCCATGTACTGTTCTTGCTGGTTTTGAATGATTTTCCACAACCTGTTCTAGCAATATGCTCAAGGTATGTGAGGCAAAGCCTGTCTCTTTTTGCCTCCAAAAAAGCACTCTGGCTGCACCCTCTCCAAGTTAATCTGTTCTTTTGATCATCCATGAGACGTTCAGTGCTCTTCTCCAACACCACAGCTCAAAGGCATCAATATTTCTTATTCATTGTTCGACTCTCAGAGTCATAGCAAGTAATCAATATTAATAATATTGTTCTACAATTTGCATCCGGATTGGAGGAAGATTCATTACCAACCTGTATTATGCAGATGACATAACCTTGCTTGCTGAAACTGAGAAAGATCTGAAGACCTTGCTGCAGAATATCAAGAACTGCAACCTTCAATATGGATTGAAGCTCAGCATTAGGAAAACAAACATTCTCACCACAGGACCAATTGGCAGTATCATGATGGATGGTGAAGAGATTTGGATTGTTAACAGCTTTAGTTTGCTTGACTCCACAATCAACACTTTTGGCACCAGCAGAGTACCAATTGCATTGGGAAAGTCAGCTGTCAGAAACCTCTCTAGAGTACTGAAGACCAGCCATGTAAGTCTGGAGACTAGAGTGTGCCTAACCCAGGCAATAGTTCTCACAATTGCTTGCTATGATTCAGAGAGCTAGACAATGACTAGGGATAATAGAGAGTTGATTCCTTTGAGCTGTAGTGTTGCAGAAGAATCTTGAGTAGACCCTGGATGGCTAGGAGAACAAACAGGTTCGTCCTACAGAGGGTGAAGCCAGCCTGCTCATTGGAGGCAAGGATTCTGGGGCTTTGTCTGACATACTTTGGGCATGTTGCAAGGAGGGCCAACCCTTGGAGAGGGACATCATGCTTGGGAGGGTGGAGGGACAGAGAAAGAGAGGGAGATCATCGATGAGATGAATTGATACAGTGACTGAGGTAATGAGTATAAGTGTGTCAGAGACAGTAAAGTTAACACAGGATAGAGCAGGTTTCAGGGCTGTTGTACATAGGGTCACTATGAGTCACAAGTGACTCAACAGCACATAACAACAACAACAACAATTTTTACATTCTGTTGGGTCACTTTTCTAGGGAATTGGAACAAACAGGGATCTTCTCTAGTCCAGTCAGCCAAGCAGCTCTCCTCTAAATGTCCTGGCATAGACTGGTGAACACGTCCAGGGTTGCAACTGTCATTTGAAACATGTCAATTGGTATCCCATTGACTCCTGGGGCCTTATTTTTTGCCACTGCCTTCAATGCAGCTTCAAATTCTTCCTTCATTAGCATTGGCTCTTGATCATATGCTACTTCCTGAAATAGTCCAGTGTCAACCAATTCTTTTTCCTTTCATCTTCTTTTGATGCTCCCTGGGTCACTCAATATTTTGCCCTTAGCATCTTTAAGTAATGACTCTGTAGGGTTGAATTTGTTTTTCAGTGCTTTCAGCTTGAGAAATGCAGAGCAAGTTCTTTCCTTTTTATTCACAAATCCCAGTTCTCTGCACATTCTGGGGCCTTATATTTTGCCAATGCCTTCAATGTAGCTTCTACTTCCTTCTTCATTACCATTGGCTCCTCTTCATATGGTACTTCCTGAAATTTTTCAGTGTCAATCAATTATTTCTGGTATAGTCACTCTGTGTATTCCCTCCATCTTCTTTTGATGCTTTTTGGGTCAATATATTGCCCATAGTATCTTTCAATATTGCAAGGTAAGGCTTAAATTTGTTTTTTAGCTCTTTAAGCTTGAGAAATGCAGAGTGAGTGCTTCCCTTTTTATTTTCCAATTCTAGCTCTCTGCACATTCCATAATAATACTTTGCTTTGTTCTCCTAAGCTGCCCTTTGAAATCTTCTGTTTAGCTATTTCACTTCAACATGTTTTCCTTTTGTTTTGGCTTATCAATATTCTAGTACAATCTTTAGATTTTCTTCTGGCATCCATTTTGATTTCCAGGGAGGGACATGATGCTGGGAAGGGTGGAGGGTTGGCAAAGAAGAGGAAGACCCTCAACCAGGTGGATTGACACGGTGGTCGCTGCAGTGGCCTCTTGTGTATCAGGACGTGTGAGGATGGTGCAGGATAGAACAGGGTTCAGATCTTTTGTTCATGGGATTTCTATGAGTCGAACTTGACTCTATGGTACCTAACAACAACAACAACAACAACAGTGTTCTCTTGCTTAGTCTAGGTATAGGTTTCTTTCACAGGAGCACAATCAAGTGTTCTGAGACCCTTAATCTTTTCAATGTTAGCCACAATTTGTTGTAATCCTCACAGGCAAATGCCTTTGCATAGTTGATAAAATAAAAATAATAAAATTTAAAAAAATATTCTTCTGGTATTCACTACTTTCAGACAATATTCATCTGACATCAGTCGTGATTTTTCTAGCATCACAGTAAAGCCTGCTTGTATTTCTGGCAGTTCTCTATCGATGTGCATCTTTGGATAATCTTCAGCAAAATTTTGCTTGCATGTGATATTAGTGTTAATTGTTCATTTGTTCCCCCTCACATTCTTCTGGATCATTTTTATTTTTTTTTTA